ATGAAATTCGCGACTGTATGGAGAAGTGGGGAGAAGACGGTGAGGTGAGGCAGGGGGGGGTGAAGTGAGGCAGGAGGTTGAAGTGAGACAGGGGGACCGAAATGATGTAAGGGAGGGTGAAGTATGAAGGGGGAGGATGAAGTGGGGGAGGGAAGGCTGAATTGAGGTAGATGAGGGTGAAGTGAGTCAGGGGAGGGTGAAGTGAGGAATAGGAGCGTGTTGTGAGGTAGGGGACGGTGAATTGAGGCAGCAGAGGGTGACGTGATGTAGAGGAGGGTGAAGTGAGGTAAGGGAGGGTGAAATGTGGAAGGGGAGGGTGAGGTGAAGAGGGAAGGTTAAGTGAAGTAAGGGAGGGTGAAGTGAGGGCAACCGGCTTTTAAATGCTGACCTTAACAGTCTTAGGGCCGCGCCTCAAGGAACTTACCCATCACGTGATGTGACCATGTCACCTCATAGCTAGTGGAAAGTTACAGGGGGTGATATGATTATATAAACCCAATGTACTGCCCTGAAATTTATATAAGAACTAAGGTGTAATACATCGTGAGGCAGCATAGTGAAATATGGTTGGGTGAAGTGAGGTAAGGGACAGGAATGTAGGAAAAATGGCACAGAAAAATTGGCAATAGGAAAATATGTCACCGGAAAAAAAGGCATAATCATCAGACTAGGAAAAATGGCTCATTAATTTTTATTGACATGTTTTCGCTAAAATTTGATAACGTTTGTTACTGAAACTTACTTAGAGTTATATCAACGCCATAACATAAAATATTTATTTATTACCTTTAAGTAAAACATTCTACCGGATGTTAGTGAAAACTCGTACATACTGTAAATGAATTACAAAATTAAAAATGTCACCTTGCATATTATTGTTAAGATTTCCAACGAATGTTATAGCCAGCGACTTGCACAAACTCTTGGACTGACTTGCGACCAGCTTGGCACTCCTGACAGAGTCTTCAACCTTGTCTGGAGATTCTTGTAAACAAGTTCTTAGCACATCCTGGGTGGCTCACCACAAGATTCTTTGATAATGTGAGATGATACAACAGCATGGTCAGCTTGAATCCACTGGATGGAACGCCAGATAGTTGGGTGGCTGTGCCCAACCAACCTGGTAGTAGAGGAAGTAAAGAAATCTTTGAAAGGAATGAATGTTAGTTTCAAGACTAGCGGGGTCATCCTAAAACTATATCTTGAGCTTATGAGACTTCACTTGGATTACTCAGTTAAGTTCTGGTCACCGTACTAGATAATGAATATAGAATCCCTTGAAAGAATTCAGAGGAGGATGGCATTAGGAACCATGGTGTACAGAGACATGTTAAAGCATCTTAATCTGCACTCCCTCGAGAGACGTAGAGTGAGGGGCAATATGATCGAGGTGTATAAATGGAAGTCTGCTAAACAAAAGCGATATAACAAGTTACCAAACATCATCATTAACTTTAATATGCTGGATAGCTTCAAACATAGGCTCGTTAGCTCGTTTGTGGCTCGTGAGCTCTAAGTGAAGTTTGTTGTGCCATATTTTCCTAGTATGAAAAATGTGCCATTTTTTTCCTTTGCCATATTTCCCTGTGTCATTTTTTCCGGTGCTATTTTTTCAGAGTACCAAGGGACAGTGAAGTGAAGCAAGGGTTGGAGAGTAAGTCTTATTATTATTATTATTTGTTTTTATTATTATCATTTGTTTTTATTATTATTATTATTATTATTGGTGTAAATTTCGTTATAATCCATGCTTAGTACTAGCTTGGCACATGGGTACCTGACTCTGAGGTGAGGTGGTCTGAGGTGGTTAAGGGGTGATTGTTAAGAATGTCTTTGGTGGGTGAGCGAGGTGGATGGTATATGATAGGAGCAGTGTGTCGCAGGTGGGCACGTAGTATAACACGTACCCATAATGCCTCCACTTCAGCTGGGACAAAGACATCCAGGCGTGACGGACGTAGTTGATATTGACAGAAAAGGGCAACGCCCCCTCCACGCCCATGTGAACGAAGGTGATAAAAGAGTTGATATCCCTCAATGTGGCAAGTTTTTGGGACAATTTGCCACGTCACGCAGATGGCAACGGTATTGGCACCAACTGACCGGACGGACTGTGGTTGCCATTTCGTAAAATTTATTACTTAAAGGAAGTAACGTTGGAGAGCAGGAAGGAGGGGAGATCGTACTATATTCAGGAAACTTCAGTGTATTGGTACGGTCCGTCAGGAGTAGGTTTTTCTGGTTTTCTCGTGGAGGTGATGGTCCTAATGGACTTTTGTTTATGACGTCCTTTTTTCTTATGGTTGCGAGCATAGAATATGTTCAGTAATTTTAGTTGCGCAATAACACTGCCATCAGGATAACCGTTCCCTCACTTTAAACTGTACAGGGTACGCCTGGAGTACGTCACTGGTGGACATCTGTTGATATTTGTTGTTTTGGATGGACGGAAATGACTGTCTGCGGTGGCCATAAACTCAATGGCGACACTTAACATAAGAACATAAGAACATAAGAATGGAGGAAACTGCAGCGGGCCTATTGGCCCATACTGGGCAGTCCCGTTTACACCCAACCCCTATTGCTCATATGGCATCCAACCTATGTTTGAAGCAATTCAGCGTATTCGAGTTAATGATGATATTTGGTAACTTGTTCCATTCATCCACTACTCTGTTTCCAAGCCAGTGTTTACCTATTTCACCCCTAAATCTAAATTTGTCGAATTTAAAACCATGGTTACGAGTTCGCTCCTGGTTGGATAGTTTGAGTACCTTTGTAATGTCCCCTTTGTTTAGCCCTGCCTTCCACTTATACACCTCTATCAGGTCGCCCCTCGCTCTACGTCTCTCAAGGGAGTGCAAATTAAGATGCTTTAACCTGTCTCTATACTCAAGGTTCCTAATACCAGGGATTACCTTGTCATTCTCCTCCGAATTCTTTCCAAGGATTCTATATCCATTCTGTACTACCGTGACCAGAACTGAACTGCGTAATCCAGGTGTGGTCTCACAAGAGCAAGATACAGTTTTAGGATGACCTCGCTAGTCTTGTAACTAACACTCCTTTGTATGAACCCAAGTACTTTATTAGCCTTGTTACGAGCAAAAACACATTGTTTACTTGGTTTAAGGTTCCTACTTATCATTACTCCTAAATCTCTCTCGCAGTCGGATTTCTCTATGGCATCGTTGTTAATCTGGTATCTGGTTTCCCTGTTTACATCTCCTATACTGAGTACCTTACATTTGTCGACATTGAATTTCATCTGCCATTTTTCAGACCATTCGAAAAATTTGTTTAGATCTTCCTGTAGTTTTGCCGAGTCCTCGTCAGATTTGATAACACGTCCTATTTTAGTGTCATCAGCAAATTTACTTATATTGCTGTCAATGCCGATATCTATGTCGATTATGTATATAATAAATAATAATGGTCCAAGTACTGAGCTTCTACCTTTCCAATTAGTCTTTCGTGGGGGACTCTGTCGAAGGCTTTGCTAAAGTCGAGATATACCACATCATAATTGTGCCCCTCGTCCACCGATTCGAAAAACTGATGAAAAGAATGTTAATAGATTAGTTAGGCAAGAACGTCCTCTTGTGAAGCCATGCTGGGAATCATTGATCAATCTGTGCTTCTCCAGGTGATTTCGAATAGAGTTTGAAATGATTGCTTCCAGTAATTTGCCTACTATTGATGTTAGGCTGATTGGGCGGTAGTTAGAGGATAGTGATCTATCCCCCTTCTTGAAAATCGGTATTACATTCGCTATCCTCCAGGATTCTGGTATTACACCTGTTTTTAATGAAATGTTAAACAACTTTGCTAAGGGCATACTAAGCTCTTCCTTACATTCCTTTAATACTCTGGCAAATATCTCATCGGGACCAGGTGGCTTATTAGGCTTTAGTTTGTCTATTTGCTTACTAACATCGTTACTAGTCACTACTATCTCACTTAATTTGTTTTCTTCACTATCTCTGAATAGAGTCGGTGCCTCGGGTATCATGTTTAAATTTTCGGTGGTGAAAACTGTTGAAAAATATTTATTCAAATTATTGCTCATTTCTCCGTCGTTATCCGTGAGCTCGCCGGTATCTGACCTTATTGGTCCATCTTTTCTCGTGTTTTAGTTTGATACATTTGGTAGAATCCTTTGGGGTTTGTCTTCGCCTCCCTTGCTATCCTTATCTCATTATTCCTCTTTGCTTTCCTTATCTCGGTTTTAACCCTACTCGCCAATACCCTATAATAGTCCCGGAGGTGAATTTTGCCACGATTTATCCTTCTACCTATAGCCTTCCTTTGGCCAATGATGTTCTTTAAATAATTATTTATCCATTTAGGATAAATTTAGGGCCACTGATATTGGTAGACATCTGTTAATATTTGTGTTGTCATAAACACTTTGAGAGTGCCGACACAATACCCATGGTATATGTAAACACCGTGGCAGTCCTTGTTACTGACATTTTGAAGGTCACCAACAAAGCGCCCACGGTCTGGTATTACACTGCTCACTGGTGAGTTGCTGTGAATTACGCTTGTTTTGTGTTTTTTCTTGGAATACACTATTAGATCATTATTTGGTAACCAATCATTGCACTGATCACGTGAATGTTTTGTTGATAAATCCCGCTGTAGGGAGGTTGGTAAGAAGTCGGGATTGGGCAAGGGAGCAGAGCCAAACAGACTTGGCCTGACTGCCAATCAGGAGCGCGTACAGGACACATATTGTCTCACTTAGGGCTGACTGATGTGTGTGTGTGTTTGTGTGGAGGTTCCCTCCTACCAGCATCGTCCGAATATAATAATTATTAGCAGGAACTCTTTGGAATTGTATTATCTTGTCAATTTAACTAACTATTCTTAATGTAAATTGCATAATTCGTGACAACATTTATGTCACTCTGTTGAGTGTTTCCTCATATCATTATTCAACTATTTACTCTTTTTTGGTAAGATCTTCACCCTCGATCTGTGTTGTGTGTGTGCAGGCTGGCGTTCAGTGTGACGGAGGAGGATATCCAGCTGTGGTACAACTGTGAGTTATACAGTGACGTGCTGGTCAAGCGGGTGCCACTCCAGCTGGTGTTCGACTCCGCCTCCACACTCTACATCGGGCAGGCTGGCGGCATCTTCAAGGGGGATTTTGAGGTAAGGCTTACGTCTCCATTTTTGTTCTTTATCTTTTCCATGTTTGATGAAATGTTAAATCTTTTGAAGCTTTACACACACACACACACACACCCACACATACAGGCAATTCCCAATGGAGGTTCACGGCGCTTAACAATCACGTTGAACAGTCTTTGAGTGGAATATAACAAAGCCTAGGATTGCTTTTGTTGTCCTTGTGGCGCGGTGGTAATGATTCCTGACTACTGAGGTATTGTTTGTATATGGAAGTTCGCATGCCATATGGACTGATGATATATACAATATATACAATATATATATATATATATATATATATATATATATATATATATATATATATATATATATATATATATATATATATATATATATATATATATATATATATATATATATATATATATTATGTAGATCCACAGTGAAAACGTGGATAAGATAAATCTTGATAAAATCACACGGGAAAAGGGAAACAACGTAGCACCTTAGCTTTCGTCTTTATTCAAGACATCTTCAGAGGCAACTGGATTACATGGACAGAGAGAGGCTTAAATATACAGGGTGACCTTAAAAACATGAGGTCAGGTCATAATGATGTCATCCACTAATCCCCACACCAACACACACGTAGAGGAGCTGGGCTCTACTTAGCTCGTATGTGTCAAGGTTTCTGCTCTGCCACACTAACACAATATACAAATTTCATTGTAACTTATTGCTGTTCTTCATGTAAGGTTTATCTCCATTACGTGTCCATAAAACTCATTAGAGAATTGTTTACCTTTTAGTGCTCCTTGTGTGCATAAGAACATAAGACTGGAGGAAACTGCAGAGGGCCCATTTACACCCAACCCCTATCGCTCATATAACCTTCCAACTTATATTTGAAGCTACCCAGCGTTTCGAGTTAATGATGACGTTCGGTAACCTGTTCCACTCATCCAATACTCTATTTCCACAATCAGTGTTTACCTATCTCGCGCCTAAATCTAAATTTGTCTAATTTAAAACCATTGCTACTGGTTCTCTCCTGGTTGGATAGTTTGAGTACCTTTGTTATATGACATTTGTTTAACCCTGACTTCCATTTATACACCTCGATCATATCACCCCTCTCTCTACTGTACGTCTCTCGATGGAGTGCAAATTAAGATGCTTTAATCAGTCTCTCTCCTCAAGGTTCCTAACGCTCGGGATTAGTCTTGTCATCCTCCTCTGAATGCTTTCTAGGGATTATATAGCCATTCTGTAGTACGGTGACCAGAACTGAACAGCTTAATCCAAGTGAGGTTTCACAAGCTTAAGATTTAGTTTTAGGATGACCTCGCTAGTCCTGTAACTAACACTCCTTTGTATGAACCCAAGTACTTTATTAGCCTTGTTTCGAGCAAATACACATTGTTGTCTTGGTTTAAGAGTCCTACTTATCATTACTCCTAAATTTTTCTCACAGTCGAATTTCTCTATAACAACTTTGTTCATCTAATATAATGTTTCTCTGTTTACATCTCCTAGACTAAATACTTTACATTTGTCCACATTAAATTTATTTAGATCTTCCTATAGTTTTGCGGAGTCTTCCTCAGATTTAATTACACGCCCTGTTTTAATGTCGTCAGCAAATTTACTTATGTTGCTGTCTATGTCGTTTATGTATATAATAAACAGTAATGGTCCAAGTACTGAGGCTTGTGGTACTCCACTAGTGACATTACCCCAATCTGATTTAGTCCTGTTAATGCTTACTCGCTGTTTTCTGTCTTGTAATCACGCCCTAATCGATTTTAGAATATCTCCTCGAATTCCACGAGCCTCCATTTTTTGTATAAGTCTTTTGTGGGGGACTCTGTCAAAGGATTTGCTAAAGTCGAGGTATACCACATCATAATCGTGTCCGTCATCCACTGATTCGAAAACGGTTGAAAAGAATGTTAATAGATTTGTCAGACATGGACGCCCATTTATGAAGCCAAGCTGGGAATCACTGGTCAACTTGTGCTTCACGAGGTGATTTCGAATAGAGTTTGAAATTATTACTTCCAGCAATTTGCCTACAATTGATGTTAAACTGACTGAACGGTAGTTAGAGGATAGTAATCTATTTCCCTTGTTGAAAATTGGTATCACATTCACTATCCTCCAGGATTCTGGTACTACACCCATTTTTAATGACATGTTAGACAAATTTTCTAAGGGCATGTTAAGCTCTTCCTTATATTCCTTTAATACTCTGGCAAATATCCCATCAGGACTTGGTGACTTATTAGGCTTTAGTTTGTCTATTTGTTTATTAACATCGTTACCAGTCACTTCTGGTCTTATATGGTCAGCACGCTCACGTCGTTAGCAAGAGGACCCTGCTTGAATATCCGGGCAGGGTGGAGCTTTACCTCATTTACCTGTCTTTTCAGCAATGATTTTGGACCCAGATTTGCGGATAGTGTTCCTGGGTAATGGTTAACCAGTGCCGTTGGCGAGTTGTCCGGTCTTCTCATATTATTCCTTTAGGTGGCCCTAGGTTCGGCCATCCTCGAACACGAGAGTTGAGTATAACAAAAATCTCACGTGACCGTCCTACTAAATCATCTTTATGGTCAGTACATGTTAAAAGATCACCACAATGAATAAAACTAACTAAATTCCAGGCCAGTGTATGTTACGCTATTATTGTGTAGATGGCGGTATCTGAGGTTTCAGTTACCTTATAGGTTCTCGGTATAAAATTTCCTGACGAAATCGACTAAATTTTCTTCAGAACCAGTATTGATCAACTTGATGGGTGATGTTAGGTCGTCCATACCTTCCGTACTGCCACTGGACCAACGTTACCGTGGGTGTTTCCAGCTATCAGCTCTATCTTCTTTTTTTTATTGCCAGCTTATATTGAGAAATCCTATGAATATACAAACTAACAGGAGTGGCCTACTGTACCATAGTTTATTTATACACCAGCTCCACTGGCCTGACTGGTGTCTGATAACACTGTCAAAATGAAGCCAGGGGCACCAGTGTGAGGGCAACTCCTCAGATTTTTCCTAACTGCGTCCTCCAGTTTTACATCCCTAACGTACTGTACCTTAGACTTGTGACTAGGATTACTACTAACCTAACCAAACCTTACACACCTAATTTAGATATAATTTGGTTATCTTATGAAGTAAACTTCGTCATACAAAGCAAATTTGCACATTTTCTTCTGTAAGAATCAGTGATGTACAGTAGGTCTCGAGACTAGTTTTTCTGTCCTCGGTCTCGGTCTTGGTCTCGAACACCCGTGTAGTCGGATATTTACTCGAGACTTTGCGAGATCTCAATATTTTGTTAATTGATTTTCAGGTGTGCTAGAAGGGACTGTTTAACTGGTTAGGTTTCAGTTCAGATGGAGAGAACGAGTTACCTTACCTCAGGATGTGACCCTCAACTACACGATACTCAACGTGTGTGTGTGTGTGTGTGTGTGTGTGTGTGTGTGTGTGTGTTTGTCTTACACTAAATATAAATAATTGCCGATGAGCGATAACTTCTATATATTTAGCTTTTTTGAAAATTTCTGACTGTCCATAAACGATCATGGACCTCATCATCATACATATAAATGAATAGCACCAAGCATTAAGCATCATAAATTAAACATATGAGAAGGCATGAGGGGTGAGGGATGGGATGGTGGAGTTAGGTCCATCACCAGCAGGAAGAGAGGGAGTTCAGGCTGGTGCCTATCATTTGTATGGTCGTGTTGGACTTGTTCGAGGGAGCTTTGCTGCTTCTCTATAGGTGTAGAGAGAGGGGCGATATGATCGAGATATTTATAAATGGAAGTCAGGGCTAAACAAATGTGACATTACAATGGTACTCAAACTATCCAACCAGGGGCGAACTCGTAACAATGGTTTTAAATTAGACAAATTTTAATGTAGGCGCGAAATAGGTAAACATTGGTTTGGAAATAGAGTAGTGGATGAGTGGATCAAGTTACCAAACATCATCATTAACTGGAATACGCTGGATATCTTCAAACATAGGTTGGATGGATATATGAGCGATAATGGTTGGGTGCAAACGGGACTGCCCAGTATGGGCCAATAGGCCCGCTGCAGTTTCCTCCATTCTTATGTTCTTACAGTATGTTCTAGTCTCTGGCGGAGATTTAAGTGCAGCATCCGGGGTAGCAGCTGTGAGCAGCTTCAGGGCACCTGTGAACCTTACTGTTGTTAGCAGCCTCTGTGTAGCTGTGAGCATTGCTGTTGTGAACAGCTTCAGGGCAGCTGTGAGCATTGCTGTAGTTACAGTGGTACAGCAGTAACGCGCGTATCTCTTATCAATATGTCAAGGGTGCCAGTCTCGCTTGACCCGGGGCTAGACACGCTAGACCCTCTCTACCAAACATCACAGATTTCCCGGACTACGGTTTCTTCCTGTACTAAAATACTGGATAGACCAACCTCCCGAACGACTAGTAAACTGATTGTTGTTGTTTAATGTTATTATTGCGCTTCAACAATGAAGTTCTTTAAGGATGTAACATGGTAAGCAATTAGACTAGTCAAACAACATTAAAACAATTACTGTATGCGAGATAGAACTCTGCTTTAAAAGCTGATAAATGGCGAAATTATAAAAAAGAAATGTGTGTGTATGTGTACGTATGACAATATTATCTACATTTTTCGTGGGTATGTTTTCCCGCCCATTAATATTTTTAATTTATTACTTTACTTTACACGATAATATTGGACGAGACGGTTCTGACCCGAGGGGCTTTATACAGTAGAATTCGTTCATATTTTCCACAGGTGTTGTTTGGATGTTAGTAAGTCATAAAAACGATATGACATTATGACAACCTTTTCCTTCATTTTTTTTTTCTCTATATACGATCATAAATCACCTATAGTGGACATGGCATAAAAGATGAGAGAAATTACGGGGTAAAACACGGTGAAAATTTTATCATATGGCACTAATGAACCGTCTCTAAGTGCTTACAATGCTTTGTAGGC